AATGCCGAGGCGTTCCCAGGCCAGCCGAGAGACATAGTCCCTCCAGCGTGTCCTGGGTCTTCCCCGGGGCCTCCTCCCGGTGGGACATGCCCGGAACACCTCCCTAGGAAGGCGCCCATATCTAGGTATTGAATATCTAGGTTTTAAAGAATAACAGAACAGGTCTACCGTGAAAGTGAAGTGTGACAACAACCTTGACAGAAAATCAAAAATCAAATCATCCGTACCCTACAGATGTTCATTAAATAAATAAAAATGCTAGACCTAAACAGGAAAGGCTTAAACCATAGAGACCAGATGATATCAACAGCTACACTGACAAGTGTCAACACCGCCTACAATAACCACTAGAAATAGACCAGTTCGGTATAGGTCAGGCATTCTACATGCTGTTTTGTGGTTTGGTCTTGCAAAAATATTCACTGCAAAGCATTTCCTGACACACAGTATCTAGAAAGCCTAACTGGATTCAAACTGAGGACTACTTAAAGCAGAGGGAAGTGTGGTGTATTAACCTTATCATTCTTCTCCTACACACACAATACGCATCCTCCCACAGGAAATACCACAGTGACCCACCCTCCAAGCACATGATGTCCAACAAGGCTTCCTGCAGACACATTAACACTTAAAGTCAATTTTTAATTTAAAAAAATGAATAAGTCACTGCATGAAACGCCATGCACATCAAAACATTGCATGGATCCATTCACTATTTTAGGCCACTGACTGCAAAGTTCCATATAGCATCTCTCATAATCTGACACATGGTTACAAAAACAATACAATACAATACACGGTTGCATACAAAAACAACACCATTATATGAAGGCATTCCAATATGTTAAGGCCAAGGACAAAAAGAACGAAAGCATTGCATTGCAGCCGAGCTGAGAACAGTCCCCCTGCAGAAACTGTGCTTAAAGATGTTGCAGTAGATCTTCCGAGTCATGCAAGTTTAGCTACTTAGCAAAGTGAAAGCCTGATCCTTGTAGAGGAGGAGTCCCTATGGAGTACAGGCAGTAATGGCATAGTCAAACAGGCCTTCATCTTTTAAATAATACACAATTGCATCAGGGATACATTATATGCAACTCTCATATTTCAAAACATTTAACACCGTCATTTCAATGCATGTTTGACATTCCACCAAAGATGGGAGGAGCTTTCCTTTCTACCATTTTCAGCTCTGCAAAGCAATACCATCTGTGCCTTTTGCAGAACAATTTATGATGATGAAGTGTTTCAGGCTCTAAGTGAACAGCTCCTTCTAAAAGTCCCTTAAAAGCTTTGCCATCTTGATGAGAGGCAGTTAAGTAGCTCCACCGCAAAGCTAGCAAGCCAGCGAAACTCTGCAACCTGGAGCTTTCTTTAGATAGGAAGTGAAATGTGAACCTCAATAGAAAAAAAGACTGAAGTTGACTGCAAAATAAAATTTGAGATGGCTGGAAACAATTCAGGTTACTGCAGCACAATCAACTGTAGGTGCACGGCCTTTATGAATATGGTCATTTTAGAATGATAAAGGCAATAAGCTCAGTCTTGAGTCACACCTGATTTGCCAATAGCACTCTAGTGTCCTGTTGAGCACTTAAGACAGAGCAGGAGGAGACCATATCACTTAAATATTTACATTGCCTCCCACACTGCGCTCAGGCATGATGTACAGCCTGTATCCGGCATTAAATCCACCCATATTTCTCTCATACACACCGCAGAGAGAACTTTGGCAGGCTGCAAATGGATATAAATATGAAGAGAACAAGATGCTGAAGGAACAAGAATTCTTTGTGATGGGGTGCTTGAAAAATTGATGTAGCTCTCAAAGCTAGAATGCTGGGTCTCTACCTGAGTGGCCCTGAGCAGAGTAGAAAGCAAAAGCCTGTCCAAAAGGAGAGATGGCCATTGATGTGCATCTCTCAGGCTTGTTGACTGTATAATTGACAATTTGAAGAGCAAAGCTGCTTATGATCCTGCAGCATGAATTAGTCACTTAACCCTAACAACAACAATATCACGCTACATGATGACTACCACCACCATTTGTCAACAATTAAAAAAAAACAGACAAATACAATGCCGTGATGGCCATGCATGTGACAGCATTTCCTCCACTTTCTCCATGGTCTATCCCAATGTGCATAACAGGCTCCTGTCAACAACATGAATAATGCAGCTCTCCTGAAGAGACCTGCTGAAATACATCAGCCTGTGACTGAGAAGTAAGCCACACAGTTCCTCAGCTGAGAAACACAATACTGCATTCGCCCAAAAACAGAGCACACCGCTGATCTGTCACTCTGCTGGGCCTTTTCTTGTTCACATATAGCATAGGGCTTGTTTGACTCAGCTGCATATACGATGAAATCCTATATAGTTTGAGAGAAGTGAAATCATATCTAATAATAGCCTGCCCTTTTACTGGGAGCTATCTGGAACCAGACTACCTGCACGAGAGAGGTACAGTAACGACTTGAAAGTCTGATACAAACTTAAGACAAGGGACTGAGATGGACTGATTCTTGCTCACAAGAGAATAAACTGACAAAAAAAAAAAAAAAATTCAAGATTATTTAGAGATGAAGATATCTGCATGAAAATATAAGATGAGCCACAGTCCCATTTTAGCCTGTGGTGGGTGGTTGTCAGGGGTGAATATTAAGATGTGAAAGGAGATAATGAATAATGAGGCAGTAAAATTAATGATGAAAAACAGAGCACGTTAGACTATGTATACAGACACCAATACATTATATGTGACACTGCCGGGGTGGGGGGCTGAAAGCATACACACTGCTGTTAAAAGTGGCAGATGGACAAACAAAGAGAACCCTGCTTCTGGAGCATTGAGGCCATTCAGGAAGATGGGTGACTTCATCCCCAGCAGGACCTCACCCAACTTGGCAATAACTCGTACTCATTAGGGGAGCCTCACCACCAGAACATAGGCCGATCAGTACAGAGCAAACAGGGAGAAGGAATGGACCAACGTCAAGAGAGGGAGAGTAAAATCAGAAGATTATAAAACACTACAATTAGGGTACTGGAAGAGTATCAAATAGCATTCCAATAAGAACATTTTTCTTGAGATTATGGCTATTGGAATATTATGCTGAATCAAAATAACGTATTTTAATGCTTTGTAATTATTTGACTTGAAATGCAAAGTGAGGGAAATAACCATCCCAAAATTTAGATCACATCATGTACATCAAAATGGAATGTCGAAAATGTAACAATTGTGGCACTAATCTGCAGGTTGAGAGGAAAAACTGGGTTGCTCTCACCATTTGACACTTTTAACGAATGCAAGGCAATACATCGTCCCCAGATGGGGAAAGTTCCCAACTACGGTGGGGGGGGGTTGCTTTTTATTCAGCAAAATGTGTAAAACAGTTAACGTACACTTGTTTTATTAAGAGCTGACACTTTAAGCGACACACTTTGGCAACCTGACATCTGAACTTAAGGCTTAACGAGCGAACTACACAAACAAGCTAGCAGCAATCGGATGTCATGTGGTGACTGTCGGAATCTAGCTAGCTTAGTGGGCTAACGCTAGCTAGCTTAAAAAAAATCGAGTTTGCCATAAGTATTTTGGCTGAAAACCCCATTTTCACTCAGTTGGTCATCTAACTAAACAAAATAGTAAGCGCAGTCACCAGGCATTACAGATTCTAAACATTGCAATAAGCAAATACGAGCTAATTTAAGGAAAATAAGCTAAAGTTAAGCAACCACGCTCCTAACTACAGTGCTAGCTTAGCATTTACCTTGTCGGAGTCGAGCTCGGGGTCAGCTTGGCTCAGTCTGTACAGAAATGATTTTGGATCTCGGCACAGCGTCTGTCTCGTTGTTAAAAAATATGTGCCCCCGACGTTCAATCGAATCCATTTCGATGCCCCGACACCAGCTGAAGTATATCGGTCCGCCGGAGAATGAGCCAAACATCTCCGGTGAACGGAGCCGCTCGTGTCGGAGATATTCTCTGCCATCCCTCACCTCCGCCCTAGCCTCAGCTCTGTCTGTGCGGCTGACAGGAAATATCTAAGCTGCAGCAACTAACTTGAAGTCCGCGACTCATGCAAGGCAGGCTGTCAGCTTCCCAGCCACTCCTACTAACACACTCCACTAACACCGACAGACACTTGCATAAATTATTTCAGAGAAAAGGTCCACCCCAGTGTGTTCTACTGAAGCTTCAACATGGAGAAACGCTCTGCTGATAGTGAGAGCCTAGGAATGCCACAGCATCTAGACAATTAAAAGCCATATAATGACGAGTTGACACACAATTTGCATTTTCATGTACAGTATATCACATTTTGTACAAAGAAAAGTTGCTTTTAAGTGTTGAAGACCAGGTTTTTCTCCCGTATTGCTGCATTTAAGTTAGCATTCAAGTAATACGACACAGACACTGATAATGGGCCGGTAGTTTATTTACATGCTGCAAAATGTGAGATGCCATTGCCACTGAGTGCTGCTGTTTTCACTGTCATTACTGTAGTTGTTAACAGAAAACAGGACACATGGCTTTATTTGTATGCCTAAATCCCTACATGCTTTAATTACTGGACTACCAAGCATTAAGTGGAAAATTCGTCATTCAACATCTACTGACCTAGCGCACAATAATCAGAGACTGAACAGATTCATTAAATTATCAGAATATGATTAAATCACTGAGCAAATAGAAAATGTATGATATAGTAAGAAAAAAGCTGTAAAATATTATAGTTTACAATAATTATTCACATTCAAAGGCTTTACATTTCAATACATACACAACATGGCCCCTGAACATGACTTCAATCCAAATATGATTCATATATTAGAATTTAAATAACACAGAATGAACTAGAGGCTAAACAATAGCCATCAAATAACCTTATACAAGAATAAAAATACAAAAACTGTATCCTAGTATCATTGCATTACTTGCTTCAGATTTTAATAATACATCATCTGTACATCACAGTTCTAGTCAGTTACAAGCCAGGTAGAATTTTCCATACACGATGTAACTGACTGCCATCCACTTGATTCAAACAATTTTGCTAACTACAGGAAAACACTTCTCTAGTGTTTTCTCGACTTTATAGACAGATACAGCAATTTTATCGGTTATTTGGATCAGATCAATATCCTTTAACTGACATCCAACCACATTGAGCCCCAGGACCCTGGGCCTGAGGGTCCAATTCACTCCAGTCACACACTGCACACACAGACTCAGCTGAAGGAAGAGGGCCTTTGGAAAGGACCTTAAGGTAATATGTCAAAACTTAAAAAGCACTGTGATAATACATATTGCTAAAACAAGAGCACAAGTTAAATCGCTTTAATTTCCATTGGGCCAAACATAAGAAAAGCAAAAAAAAAAAAAAAAGAAAAGAGAGACCAATGAGCCCAAAGAGGCAGTTTTGCCATTTTGTCCAGGGACAACAGCTTTACTGTGATTGCTTCTGAGAATGATAGTATGTGTATGAATCTCTGTTGATGGTTTTCTGTTCAGCATGGGGTGGTCAGCACATAAGATCTGGTTTCAGGATGTACTAAAGATGAGCCAACTAGCCCACCAAAAAGAAACTGAATTCACACCACAAAGAAATAGCCAGTGAATGTTATAAAACAGCCAAATTATCCAATAATATTTACTTTGGGTGCCAATGCAGTCAAATGTACTCACCTTTAAACTTGAATAAACTACATTTCCAGTGCCCTAGGAAGAAGCAGCAGACAAGGCTGAGCTACAAAACTGGCCATGCAGGAAAGATTAGAAAGTTATGATTAGGAAGTACAAGCTAGTGGCATGTTTACCCATCCCCTGTCAGCAATACCTCCTCAGTAGCGGTTATGGAGGGCTCACACTTACACAGGGACTGATTCAGACCCTGGTCTCACTACAGACCAGCACTTCGCCTGGTTACAAAGAGACCTTAATTGGACTGTAATAAGCAAGTACCAAAAGACCAAAAAAAAAAAACCTCAAATTCCATGGGAACATTTGGGCTCTGACAAAAATATATAGAGGATTTGAGTTTGGTAAACATGAGACTGAACCAGCTTACAGTATCTCTTACAATTATAACATATATGCACTAGAAGTGGGGCCCAAACTACAGCTTGCACATGTGATGTAGGATTACGATATGGTTTATTTAAGATATCAGGATAGGCTCTCTTTCACAAAAGCTAGAGTTTGTGTTATGGTATTGTTGAAACAGGAAACCAGTCCTTGCATTTGAGCTAGTCCTAGCGGTACCCAGGTTTGTCTCACCCTACAAGACAAGCTAGTCCTTATCTCCCTGCTCCCACGAATGTACAAAAATCAGATGTGCATGGTAGCAATCTTATCATCCATACATGGAAAAATGCAATAGAAGCCTCACAGAGAGCACAAAGAACAAGCAAAGCAACCCTGAATCCAAAGTTGTATTTTTCCCATGGTTCTACTCAGGAAATCAAACAAGGTCTAGATGCCAGCGTCTCTAAGAGTTTGTTTACATTGCGGTGATGAAGGGCACTAAGGAGGGTGTTACTCTGCTCGGTGATTGGCCTCAGAGCTAGAGAGGAGTGGCTACAGGAGACACGGTGCTCCTATAGACCAGGGTTTTGGTGCCTTTGATATATCTTTCTCCACACTTCCTGAATCTTCTTGCACCATCTGTCAGCATTTCCGCTGGGGTCCATCAAATAGTATGTTCGGTTAGGCTGCAATCATCAAGGGACAGGAAATAAAAATATTAGGTATGTGCTGCATATAAAAAGAAATTCTAAACAGTGGGCAAATATTAACATGCTCCCGAAGGAAAATCAGATGGAAATAAATAGTCATGTACCGTGTGAACAAAGAAAGTTTTGAAGTTCTTGGCCTCAGGGCGTAGCTCTAGGGACCAAGGAATCTCCCCTTTCAAAACCTTGTTGACAGGATCCACATAGTACAGGTGTGGTCCTTCAGTGAGAAGCAGCTGTCTCCGTCGAGCAAACAGACCCTGCAGTGGAATGCCACATCTTGAGATATTAGCTCACCAACAGAGGGGGCTGTTATGCCAGTGACACTTCACAGACCACAGCAAGGAATTCCCCTTCATTTCCTATATGCTAACAGACAGGCTTCACTGATGATAAGCCAAATATTACTGGAAAACACATATCTGGTTTAAAAAAAACAAACAAACAAAAAAAAAAACAACAACTCTTAATTTAAAAATAAGTTTAAACTGAAAAGGTTTTAACTTTGTTATACACTTGAAATATATAACAAATATACAACACTACAATAAAGTAACGAGTTTAGATATATGGGATATAATTCACACACACACCTTTCGTTTATCCACTGGACCCATTTTCAAAATCAGGTTATTTTCCACAAACTGGTGCCTGTGGAAATAAGCAACAGCAGATTACAAACACTCCCTCACACACAAACATTAATTTTTCCCTAAACAGAATGCATCTATTGACAGCCACACAAACAAAAAGTAATATAATTTAACTTGCTCCATAGGACATGAGCTAGTATCTGCATGGGCCTGAATAACCTGAAGACTTCAATCCATAAGTGATTCAGATTTTGAAAAATAATGACCAACACTCAGAGAGTGGTTTACCAGGGGTTTCCTGTGGTCTGTTTGTCCAGCAATAACTGCTTCTCCTCTTCAGTGAACTGAAGGTCCAGCTCAAAGGAGTTATTATCCAGGTCATGGATGTACTGCTCAATGTTGCTGCTGGACCTCTGTGGGGGTGTGGATTCGTGTGGTGACAGGGAGTGCGATGAGCTGGACTGGGCCACCTGCATGTTGCTGAACTGGCTTAGGAGGTCATCATACTAGGGGGAAATGAAAAGGTTCACTAATGTTTGACTGAAGATTTAGTCTTTGTTCAGAGTTTGCGGGAACCTATACATTTCAGTAGAGTTTCACCTCAAAGAGAGAAAACAATGGATGGAAAAAATATATATACACAAAGATCCTGATTGTTACATAAAATATCTTACATTTCCATAGCAGTCCTCATCATCCTCAGACATTGCTGGGAGATAGGGGGTGAGCTTGGGGGGTGTCTGTAGGTGTAGATCACTCCAGGAGATGCTATCAAAGAATGGGTGCTGCTTTAAAGGGTCAAAACCTCCCAGCTCCTCGCATCCAAGCCGCTTAGAAGGGTCCAGTGACTGAGGGGGGAAAACATGCAAACAGGTTTCACATTTCATTCAGCAGAAACCCACCCCTTTCCCATTAAACTGAACAGGAAACTGTATTCAAACTTTTGACTGGTAGTGTATATGCATCTGATGACCTACCAAAAGCTGTTTGACAAGATCCTTGGCTTTGGGGAAGAATTTCTCTGGGAATTCATACTCCAGCTTTATTATCTTCTGGAAAATTAAGTACTCATTTCTACAACATATAAACCACAAGTGGAACAGAACCACAAAAAAAAAAAAAAAAAAAACAGTTAGAAAAATGTACCGCAACTCAAATGTGGTTTACTAGATGAATATTACTGGTGCAAAGTAAACATAATACAACAATAGCAATGCAATATTGACAGACATTATTTAAGAATTAATGAAAATTAACTGAGCTGTGACAACATCCAACAACTTACCCAGCTCTGAAAGGTGGTAAACCAGCTACCAGCTGATAGATAATACAACCCAAGGCCCAGAGGTCAGAGCTACAAAAAAAAGGAAGCAAATGGAGACATAAACCTATATGATGCCACCTGGCACAATTAAACAATGAGAACAAAAAGTACAGCAACAACTGCAGTGTTTGGAGCAACTTTAATGTAAAAACCAACACGTTTTGACAAGGAGTCTGACAGACCGTGACAAAGGTTCCTTGCTGAAATGAGTTGATCTTTACATTAAAGTTGGTCCAAACATTGTAAGTGTTGCTGGGCCTTTTGTTTTTCCCTCGTTTGTGCATCTTGACAGTGGGTGAAGTTGTGCCAGAAACTTCTGCTGTACAAACAAATGATGATGAAATAAGCAGTAGTTAGCAAGTGCATCTACTGCATGATTACCAAACCTCATTACCTCTTGCACGCTGATTTCTCTGTTAGCAACTCTGGAGACACATACTGTGCTGTTCCAACAAAGGAGTTTGCTCTCGCTGCCAAACAAGAAAAATAAATAGTAAAAAAGACAAGTTTATACCGTTCACAGGAGGTAGATTTCTACATTGTTACAAATTTGCTATATTTTAGGCTCAGAGGTCCAAGTCAACATTGTATTTATACCTTGTTTACTGTCTGATGATAACTGTTTTGCTGTCCCAAAATCTGTTATTTGGATGTGCATCTCCTCACTCAGAAGAATATTCTCCGGTTTCAGATCTCTGAAATAAAAGAAACAGGTTGTAACTTATGAGGAAAACAAACATGGAGCTGGGTTAAAAAATATATATATATATATAGGTAAAAATGGCAAAGAGGAAAACAATATAAATAAAAATCAAGGTTTTACCTGTGTATATAGGTAAAAATGACAAAAAGGAAAACAATATAAATAAAAATCAAGGTTTTACCTGTGTATTATCCCTTTATTGTGTAAGTATTCTAGAGCACAAACTATTTCAGCTGAGTAGAATCTAGTACAGGTCTCATCAAACGAACCAATTTTGCGAATGTATTTCAGAAGCTCTCCGTTCTTAGCGTAGCTGAGACCAAAATCTAAGAAAAGCTAGTTAAGGAACAGCAGATACTAGAAATTAATTATTAACTACCCTTTTTAAACACAAAAACAACAACCAAGTTATTAATGTACAACATGGCTTAAAAACTGAACTTATAAAGGATACACAACTTCTCATCATCTTGAAATGTGAAGTAGAGCTTGATGAAGAAGGGGTGATCTAGATTTGACATCAAATCCCTTTCTCTTTTCACATACTGGGCTTTGTTCTCCTTCATAATATGGCGCTTCTCTAAAATCTTAACTGGAGGAAAGAAAAGAAAATTTCAGGATGCAATAAAAACACAGGCAGTAAGTTTTCAACCTTGAATATGAAGTGTAATTCACTGCACTCAGAAAAAGCTGTGGCTTTAATACTTACTGGCATATTCTTTTCCTGTTACCTGCTCTCTTGCCAGCACAACCTTAGAATAAGTGAACAGAAAAAATATAACATGGCATGTTACTTTTTCGTCAGACTTGGGGGTGAGGGGGACTAGTAAATCTTGGGGCCTGTTTTGCCATTTCACCTCAAATGAACTGAGGATGACTCAACCAACTGCATTAACCAAAAGAATGCTAGCATGTAACAACATATACTCAAGTATAATTCAGAGGCTAAGGAATGCAAGTTACATACCGTTGAGAAGGAGCCCTCTCCCAGTATCTTGCCAAACTTGAAGTCTTCTGGCTTCTTCTTGCGTGGCTGAGGCGCCTGTACAGCTGGCTGTGTGCGGAGGTCTGAGACCTGGCTGCTGGCAGACACCCCTACGCCACGTGCCTCTGAGGCTGAGCCCTCCATGCTGGGACAGTGGCTACTGCTTGCGCCTGGGATAGCAAGTGGCGAGCAGGAGTCAGGGTGGTTTCTTACCATTGATGGATGCGAGCAGGAACAGATGACACAGCTGGGCTGAATGGGCACAACATCATACTGGAAGATGAGAGGGAGTATTAAAAACATATCAGTCAGCACAGTGATGCAGTTTTAGTTCTTGTTAAAAAAAACAAAACAATAAAAAGTCCACATGTGGGTTAAATACTGTATCTTCACGTGAGAAAGATGGAGAGACTGTGTATCATAGTTAAACTGGCAAGTTAAGGCCAACAATATTCAGCAATTTGGTAAAAGAATATCAGTTAATGTAAAAGGACATGTTCAATACTTTGAACTATCATTTGAACTGAGGTGTTCAAGTGTTTTCCACATCATTCTCAGATTTAGCAAGTGCATCTTAATCCATATTTTTATAAACAACCTTAAATAAGATGACACAAATGTGACAGGCAAAGAACAAGCAATATACTGCATAGTCAATGTGCTGCACTTTCTGGTGCAGCAGAGTGTATATTGAAAACAATAAGTCTTACAAAGCAAGCATATACCCAACCTTTTCCAGAAAACGTGCATGATTCTACAAGGTGGGATAGGGCTTAGAGGATCATATAGAGTAGACCCACTTCTAAGGGCACAGATTTAAATTTGCTGGAGCTAAGATGCCTAGAATGATATCATAATTTAAATACACAATTTCAAGTGAGACTACTTAAAAACAGTCTTAAAATGATAAGGACCTACAGTGACTATTGAAGCAGCTTGTGAGGCTGGTAGTCCCACCCTCCAGTATTAGAGTTGTAAATACCATGTCAAAGTTACTGCCTTCATGTGACAGCTGTGCTTACTATCACGACAAATGAACTAATCAGAGTGGTATGTAAATGATCAATTTGACATGGTAACTAAAGCAAAAAAACAAACAAACAAACAAAAAACAAAACAAAACAAACAAAAAAAAACCTGAGAGTTGAAATCCCCCAAATGATTGTTGAAAAATCAAAGAAGACACGCAATCTGTGCATTCCAACAAATCGTCTGGCGCTTCTATCAGCGTTAGTTATGTTTAACGTACTGAACTTATCATAATAGTCAGTGGTAGCTAATAACGTTCTGCTTACAGCGCAGTTAGCCCTATTAACGTGAGTTGGTCCAGCTTCCTATTCAAAACCAAGGTGTGGCCACTTTGCTGACTTATCTGGACTTAACTGTATGGTTACCAACTGGAAATACTATCTAACAGCTACTGACCCATTACTGTTTGGCCAAACATGTACTGGTTGATAGAAAACGCCAGCTCATGTTAATCTAACCCTGAGTACTCGGGTAACAACAGGCTTGAGCTAAGTTTCTTAGCTAACTAACGACTGCTAGCAGGCTAACGCTAGCTTCCGTTGCCTTGTCAAATAATGCTGCGTTCACGTCATGTCGTTTAAGCCGTAATAACGAGCAGCCAAATGGGAAAAACAGTCCACGTCAACCTCCGACTTTTAATACCGAGTCGGAGAAATCGTTAATTTCTAAACAGCTAAGATATGTCCCACTTGGCAGAAAGGAATGCGGAAGTATCATCATTACGGGTTTGAAATTGGCTTCAAAACAACCATCACCAACAGTTACACCTAATTTCACTTGGAAAGGAAAAAGAAATATGCACGGAAATACTTTGCAACCTACTGGCATTAACGTTATTCGTGTTAAAAGCAAACTGAGAAATTAGCCTTATGGCCAAAGTAACGTTAGCCTTTCTTAAAAGTGCAATTTCATTGTTCCAACCCAGTGTGTGTAAAAAGCTGCAGCATTTGAGAGTTGGGAATAAACGTTATACGCAGCATCGGGGCATACAAAATAGAATAATGTTACAATTATTTGATACAAAGCAGCTTTAGTCGCAGCAGACTACATTGCGGACAGCGACCATCTTGGACTACTGCATGAACGCTCCCGTGTCGTTTCTATGGGAACTAGTTCATCCTCCCCATTCTGCCGACATGACATGAACGCAGCAATGCCGGCCATTGCTGACAGGGAGTTATAAAGTTAATGCTAACAGCCTGTCAATTGGCTAACGTTAGCAAGGCATGTAACCTAAAAGTAACTTCAAAATATTATGCCACTTTTGTGTAATGTTACTTGGTCATGTTCAAATTTAATGCACTGCCATTATTAATGAAATTTGAAAGTTAATGGGCTGACAAATGAACTACACAATGTTAACCTTACAATGCCATCTCCTTACCAAAGGTGGAACGCCATAAAGCTAATGTTAGCTTGATAGCAGTAAGAAGCACCGTTCGAAAGCGCGAACCTGTTTAGCTAACGTTAGCCAACATAAACTGAACACGGGAAATGTCTATAAGCTACATCCTCTAAAATTAATAGTGAGCATGGATAAATGCTAATTCAGCATCGAATATTTCCAAGAATCCTCACCATGAACCAAGCCAGGTGTTGGACAACCCCGATTAACGTAGCACACATAGGATGTTGTTAGCCAACATTAGCGAGCTAACATTGCTAGCTGGTGAGACATAGTTAACGTTAAAATGATCTTAAGCGGCTAGCACCGCTCTTTAGGTGAAAGTATTTGTTGTCAAATAGTCACCACACTGCACCTTCTGAACACCGGCTTCGGATGTTAAAGTTGCACCACTTACCAGCTGACTTGTAGCTCTTGCCATGGGAGTTTTTCACGAGTACTTATTTGGAATAAAATAATTAGAGAAGCTCCAGTAATGGCTGCCTCTGCGCCTTCATTTTCGAGCTGTGACGTCGTTCCACAACAATGTTACCGCAGGACAGCAGAGGAGAGTCCCACTGTATCCGCCCCCCTCGCCACATTTACAACCTACTGAACTTCATCTTACTGACAGGGATGTAGTCAGACGGCACCAATTGTAGATATTCAAATACCGCAGTAGACGTGGCCTACAAACTATCTTTGCGCCAGCATGTTTTGGATATACTAAAATTGTACTGCAGTGCACAGAGGGCTGTCTTCAGGTATCTTACATCATTTTAACTTGTGTGTAAAAGCAGCCTGATTTCACACAGCCCACAAGTCCGTTTTCATGCTCTCTTTCTTCCACCAACTCTAAGTATCCGATTGAAACTGTTGACAACCCTGGAGTTTGCAAATATTCATTTATTTAGTCTATGATGACATAGAAAACACAATTTATTGTGTGATTTACAATTTTTTTGGATACAAAACCAGAGAGCCCCAAATAACTTTCAGTTTATGAAGGTGTACTGAGGTTGTTTTTTTTTTAAGTTATGCTTGTCCTTGTATTGAAAGCATCCATAACTGAAATATGCTTTTCTGTGATGACTTTAAGTCTCATCTTCATCCTGATGATGTGACAATGTTCTTAGCTCTTTGTTGCTTCCAGTTTTTTCATCTGCTTCATCTTCATTATCCTCTGAGGTGTCTGTATCCTCACCGGAATCGTCGTCTTCTGGTGGACTAAATACAGAAATGACATGTTGATGAACTTACCCGTGAAACAAACAAGGAATGTACAGATGTCTTTTTAATAATATTTGGTTATACATTTTTGAATTTTAGCCAACAGTAGGTAATATGAGTTGATTAGTACTAATAAATCATTTAAAGATACACAAAGAAATATTGTATCTCAAGGATTAACTCACTGAAGGAAACTATAACTTGAATGACCCTGTGTGAAATACCTAACACTTACCACTGAGGTCTGTTGAGATTCCTACATTCTACTCCTGAGTTAACATCAAAAGGATCTGTGTGCAAGACAAATGATTAGCATTCATTAAGTAAAAAACAGCTTCAACATTAGAGGTCACAACTCACCAACTTATGTTTTTGCACATAAGGTGATTTTCCAAGGATGCAGGAAACAACTGGTTTCACACATCTGAAATACTGCCCACATTTCTAATATGTTCAGAGATTCAAATAAAATCAAATGAATAAAGTAAAACAATATAGTCAAAGTATTGATTATCAGACAAGGAAACAATGCAGAGAGCTGGAGAAAGCTCCTGGGTTCAATACAACAACTTACAATGACCTCTATTTTATAATTGTTACTTATAATTAAGAAAGCTTAAAAGCCTTAAAAGAACTACCTTTTATAATATTTACATTCTAAAAAGGAATGGGAGGCCAGCATTTCTCCAGTGCTTTTTGGCAGTGGTGAGTCACTAGACAAAACTACTGTGGGAACAGCTACAATATAGAATAAACTTATTTTAGTTAGTTATTTCCCATACATGCAGTTAAATTTCTGCCATTTTGAAGGAGAGCTTTCACCACAGAAAAGTTTAATTAGAATGAATACAATTTGAGAGCTACAAGTTTCATATGAAGCCAAACCAAGACTATAATGAGGACAGGTGTGAGATTAACTGACCAAAATAATTTCCAGACACCTCTGCTACACAAATATGTAAAAAAAACACTGTATGGGGCCCCAGTATATTACAACTGCATTTTACCAAACACCTCCTCCTCTGGTTTAGACGTGAGAAACTCCTTCTCCACAGAAAGCAGCTCTTCCTCTGACTGGCATGAAGCATAGCGATCCAGCAGAGCTTTGTTGAGCTCCAGGAACACTGTCCCCCACTTGAATTTCTTCAACAGGAGCACTCCCAGTTCTTCAAAACCTGAAAAATCAAAAACATATTATTTCACACCCATAGCTTATAACAGGTTATGAAAAGCAGTCAGCTAACTGAAGCTAAAGCCTTACCTACAATGCAGAATGTGGCAGCAAAAGCCTCAACACAAGATAACTTGCAAGGCTTGCCATAGTTGACAGGGTTTGCAGCTACGAGGTACGGCAGTAACCTGGGATGAGCTCCGACCATCTTATTGAAGGGTGTTTCCTCCAATTTGGCCCAGGAACAATCAATCACTGCTATCCCATTCTGAGCCACAATCTTCCTGCACATATAGGACTTTTTTATAAAATCACAAACTGTGTCATTCATATTTGATCACAAATTCTGTAGAAATAATAAAAAAAAATCTATTTATTCATACATTTACTCAGTTAATGCATTTGTTATGGACGAAAATACATTTTTACAACAAATATACCAAGGTGCATTCAAGAATTGTTCAGATGATCATCAACCATTCTGATCATAAATGTACCATACTGAGTTATTAAATAAAAAGTGTATTAAATACAACTACATAATAATAACACTGCACTGGCCAAATTAAAAATACTTAGAACTTGGTTATCTATGTTTCATTTCATTAACAAATGCATATGCATATATTCTGATTAGGCTGTTAACTTATAATTGACATGTATATGTTAGATTAATACAGATTCTTTATTGGCAAACTGGGATTTTAATTGCTGCAGTACAGAGGAAGACTCAATGCACCTGTCTGCTGGCGTCACATACTTTATGCCCATTGGACTCAGAATAAGTCCATTAAATCTTTGGTTGAGGCGCAGGTTGCGTACAAAGCCTTTGCGTACTAGTTTTCTGCCTGTACAACGCTTAGGATCACAGTGTCCCAACTCCCACATGGCGAGTGGACAAGGCAGTTTAACCTGCGGGGCCTCTGCTCCTTCTTCTAGATGAAGACTGGCTGAAAAACAAAAACGGTGACAGAGGACAACGAATACATTATGATTCGACAATTTCAGGATTCCACTCTGTACTTCTACTTTAGATACTTGGGTAGAATTAACATGATTTGTCCGAACTATAACATTACATTTAGCATTTCACACAGAGGAACGAATGCACTCCGTAAAATCTGTTGTAACCAACACGTGAGGCAAACTCAAAATAGCCGACACATAGGCCTGTGCTCAGATCATAAATAGTTATTGCATCATTACCTTCAAAAGCAGAGTGCATTTCTTCTGTAAAGGCATCTAAGGATTTCCCCTTCATTTTATGCCGTTTATCTTTGCCCTTGTTGTCAGAGCGCACAAATTTACCTTGTTTCTTTCGCCCCATGTTGTACCTAGTGGACGCCTAGTTAGTTACTATCAGATTACAGTCTGCATTTATACTAACCATTATTTACTTACGAGCTTTAATGTTACTCTGACATTAGCTAGCTAGCTAGTTACCACACTGATACCAGCCTGTTTAAAGAATTCCTCATATGTAAACGTTTCGTATTGTACCTAAGCGTATATTGTTTACAAGCTCGTAAAACATATCACAATACGGCCAGATTTAGCATCCTACACAGCTTGTTATAACATTTAAAGTTTCCTTAGCTTTAGCTATTTCTTATTGTAGAAAGCACGTAGTCCAAAATGCAAACAGCGCATGCTCACTTCTGGTTTTGATCACCTGACCTATCATCACTAACAGGAAATGTAGATAGAAAACAGCCCGTTTACACATTTTAGGTATTGAAATATTAGCCATGTCCTTCTTGCGAAACGTAATATTTAATATATTGAGGTTGTTGGTGGTCTGTGTGTCTCTTTTTAGTAAGTATTTATGTACTCCTTTGCGTGCATTTTAAACACAATAATGCTAAACTAGATGTGACGCATTGTGCTGTTCTGCTGTGTTATTGAGTTGCCGACCTGTGCTTTTTACACAGTAAACCATGGATTTGCCGGTAGAATGAAAATAGTCGAGGAGCCAAGCACATTTGGGTACGTTAAGCAAAAACATAAGCCGTGGTCATAATGTACACCTTCTTAGTATCAGCTCTTCTTGACGGATTTTCTCTGTGTGTAGGTTGAACAATCCTTATCTATCTCAGGGAAGCAGACTACAGCCTAAAGTGACCCCATCTGCAGTGTCTGGTGAAATAGTCTGGCATAATCTAAAAATTATATTTGATGTAATCTTGTGCTTGTATGCTTTTAATGAAGGGTAAACCAGTAGATGTTGACTGAAAGTTGTCAAGAGATTTTCTGTTGATTAGCCATCATTAAATTCACTAATCAGCAGTACTTACTGTCTTCTTTAAGGCCCTGCACATCTTCATGGACTGGCTGGAAAGTGCTTCAGTTTCACAGAGTCCATGTGAGTACTATGCGTATAATGTGAGCACTAAATTTTCTTTATTTTAGGCAGAACGTGACTACTACCTGTACTCTTCTGGATGATAATTGTTGGATTGCTATATCAGAAGTTAGCTGTCTGGACAAACAACCATGTGATTGGGTCACTTTGCAGGTATAAATATGAATTCTGTCCATTTCACAATGTCACCCAACATGAGCAGTCTTTTCGGTGGAATGCCTACAGTGGGATACTGGGGTAAGAGGCTGTTACCTTACATTAACTATTTCCAGGCAGTAAGGTGTGTTTTCTTTTGTGAGAGCAGACTCCTGTGTGTTTCTCACAGGATCTGGCAAGAGTGGGAAATGGCCAACAACACTTTCACAGGCATGTGGATGAGAGACGGAGATACGTGTGGAGCCAGAAACAGAGAAACAAAGGTTAGTGTGGTTTAAAAACTCAATGGCTTCTTTCCATGTCTGTATTTCTTTTTAAATAAAAAGACAAGTAACAGTCATAGACTGTATATAAAGATATAGTCTATGGCAGGGGTGCCCAAAGTGGGGCCCGCGGAACATTTGTTTTGGCCCGCGGGGACATTTCTTGGCCCCTGTCAACTGTCTGAATATGCAACACTTGTCAGCAACCTAGACCTGGAGTTTGAAATGCGCGTTCAGGACTTCAGGAAGAATTCAGGTGACATGGAGCTGTATTCCCAAACCCTTCAGCACAAGTGTGGACTGTGTCCCTGATCACATTCAGATGGAGCTGATTGAGTTTCAGTGCGATTCAGAGCTGAGGAATAAATTCATGTCACTGAAACTGAAGGACCTCTACACACATGTCTCACCAGAACGGTACCCAAACATTAGGAAGCATGCACAGGTGATGTTA